ATGGCTCATGATATGAATGGATTCAGCCAGTGTGTTCCAGAGGAATCTGGAAAGAAGACTTTCACATTTCTCCTAGCCCCAGCCCCAACTAAAATCTGACCTTAATGACCACCATCCACCACCTGGCCCTTGCCCCCTGCTTTGGTCCACTTGCCCTTCGTTAGAGGTGCTTACTTAGACAGAGGGCTGCACTGAACTGGTGAGTGCCCAAGGCATCTGGAGGTTGCTGTCTCGGTCAATCAGAAGCTTCTCCATCAGAAGCTCCCCAGGAGCTACTGAGCCCCCAGTCCTTACCTCCTCCACCCCAAGGGACCTCACTGCTCATTGCAGCTCTCACGGAAAGCGTGTGTTTGGGGGATGATGAGAGGGTGTGCTGCTCTTCCCCAGGCTCGGCTCAGCTGCCTGTGTGGTGCTCAGTTTCCTAGGCATGAAGGTAGGCTTTACTCTCAGGCCATGAGCTCATGAACCATGTCTTGCTCACAGAAGAAATGAAATAAGACAATAATAGAAGAATGAAGGAAGGAAAGTAGGAGGTAGGAACATCTGGATGGATGGCTGGGTGGGCAAATGCATGGGTGGATGGGTGGGTGGATGAGTAGATGGGTGGATGAATGGATAGGTCTAGAAATGAGTAAATGAATGGATTGGAATCTGGATGCATAGAACAAAAGTATGGAGGTGGATGAGTAGAGAGCTGGAATACAGACAGATAAATGACTAGACTGAAGAATAGAATCATATCTAAAGAGATGAATATATATGAATGAGGGATAGATGGGCAGAAATACAACTGGCAAATATAATGAGAGAGCAATGAGTGGAAAGATAAATGTATAAATAATAAATGAATAGCTGGATGAATTGGTGCTGGGCTAACTATTGAAGACATAGATAAGTAAACGGACACCTGTCAGTCATAATGTAGCATTCTTCCTGGAATTGTTTCCCCTGCTGCGAGTGCCGTGTTCCCGCACCTCTCTCTTGTATGTTTTTCTCAACTCTCTTGAAGTAAGCTGCTTTTTCCTTCCCATGAGGCTTTCCTCGACTGTGGTACACAAAATGTCAATCCTCTCCAGAGTTTCTTATTCCCCAACCCAATTCATATTTTCTGAGCATTTGCCATCACATAATATATTACAGTATGTTTACTTATTTGTTTCCACTAAAATGCCAGCATCATAAGAATAGGAACTTTGTTAACGCTGAGTCGTCACCCCTTAACAGGGCCTGAAAATCAATATGAATTTGTTGAGTAAACACGCAGACGATGGGTAAATACGTGATACGTAAGTGGAGAGGTGAATGGAGGCTGGCTGGCTGGCTGGACGCCTGAGCTGGTGGGGGTGGGGAGTGCTTGGCCCTGGTCGAGGTGACCATTCCAGGAGCTATTTTAAGCATTAACTCACTTGGCGGACTATGTGTCAGAAGGACCCACACAGGTGGGTGCACGGCTTGCTAGGATGGGAAGCTGGAAGAAAAGATGGATGTGATGTACAACCAGCCTGGAGAAAGAGAACCTCTAGACAGATCAGTGACAACAGTGACAGAGGAGCATTTGGAGATAGAAGCTTGTATTAAAAGGATAATCCTAGCTAGCCAGACATGGTGAACATATAAACAGTAGTGATGAACACTGATGAGTGGTTGTTCTGTTCTAAAGGGATGGGCAGCTTGCAAAATGCTTCTTCTGAGTGTTTTACCTGTATTGAGACATTTAAATATGCAAATGTATGGATGAGTGGGTGGATGGATGGGAGGGTGGGTGGATGGGTGGGTGGATAGATGGGTGGATGGATGGGTGGGTGGATGGGAGGGTGGGTGGATGGGTGGATGGATGGGAGGGTGGGTGGATGGGTGGGTGGGTGAATGGATAAGTGAATGGATGGGTGGATGGATGAGTGGGTGGGTGGATGGATGGGTGGATGGATGGGAGGGTGGGTGGATGGGTGGATGGATGGGAGGGTGGGTGGATGGGTGGGTGGATGGATGGATAAGTGAATGGATGGGTGGATGGATGAGTGGGTGGATGGATGGGAGGGTGGGTGGATGGGTGGGTAGATAGATGGGTGGATGGATGGGAGGGTGGGTGGATGGGTGGATGGATGGGAGGGTGGGTGGATAGGTGGGTGGGTGGATGGGTGGGTGGATAGATGGGTGGATGGATGGGAGGGTGGGTGGATGGGTGGATGGATGGATGGGTGGGTGGATGGGTAAGTGAATGGATGGGTGGATGGATGAGTGGATGGATGGATGGGTGGGTGGATGGGAGGGTGGGTGGATGGGTAAGTGAATGGATGGGTGGATGAATGAGTGGATGGATGGATGGGTGGGTGGATTGGAGGGTGGGTGGATGGGTAAGTGAATGGATGGGTGGATGGATGAGTGGTTGGATGTATGGGTGGGTGGATGGGAGGATGAGTGGATGGGTGAGTGGATGGATGGGAGGGTGGGTGAATGGGTGGGTGGGTGCATGGATGAGTGGGTAGATGGGTGGATGGATGGATCAGAGGATGGGTGGATGGATGGATGGGGTAGATGGGTGGATGAGTGGGTGAATGGATGGATGGATGGGGTAGATGGGTGGATGGGTGGGTGGATGAGTGGGTGAATGGATGGATGGATGGGGTGGATGGGTAGGGGGGTGGGTGGGTGGAGGGATGGATGGATGCCTGCTTAGTGGACCGATGTAAAGAGAGACAGATGGACATGGGTATAGAAGGCTGGATGGCTGGATGATTGAAATGATTGACTGGAAGGATGTACCACGTTTATGTAGATAAGTGAATGGATAGGTATGTTGATGAGATGATGAACTGATAAATGAAGGATAGCAAGACAGACATCACAAAGAAAGGATGGATGGATGAAGAGGGAAAGAGGGATGGAGGGAAAGGTGGTGGGTGGATGGAGAGATTGATGGCTGGGTGGGTGGATGGATGAATTATCATGAAGCTGACGTCAATATTCTGCACCGCTGTCCACATCGCAACACATCCTAGTCACAAAACTGCATACCTGGGCTGCCATGTTGAAGATCAGCTCTTGCCACTCCCCACCATTGACACTTCTGAAGGTTGGCCACCCTCCTGAGGCAGCCCTCTCCTCTGTGGGAATATTCTTCCTTCTTTTGAACCCAAATTGCCTTGGCCACCTTTCATTCCGGTTGTCTCTCCCAGGACAGGAACAGGAGGCAAGGGTCAGGCGGACGTGCTTTCTTCCCCACCTTCCGGGTTCCTTGGTGTGAGGTGCTGAGTGTGGCCTCCACCTGAGGCCCAGCCCTCCTCCATCTGCCTCTTATCCCGGCAGAATCCTGAGGTCTCTGTGGCTCTGTGGGTGCTGGGTTGGGCAGTGGGCCAGCTGTCTCTGTTGTGCGCTCGACACTCCCTGATCCCTCCTGTGTGGTGGTGGGAGGAGAGGAGATGAGTCCCACCACTGGGACTGGCCCTGAGGCCGAGCTTGTGGGTGTGTGGCGGGTGATTCACTGCCGTATGAGCACCCTTGTCTCTTGGATGGGTCCATTCCATAGTCCCCAGGTGCCTGTCTGGCCCACTGGGGAGGTCACACTACCTGGGAATGTGAGAAGGGCCAGTCCTCTGCACATGGAGACAGAGGGCAGCTGGGGGTAGATGCAGCGGGGCGTCCAGCAGTGGGTAGATGGGTGAGGCCCTGGCTCAGCCAGGCCTGGCTCTGTGGTCTCGGAACCCGGTGCTCCTGGCTGGGCCTCAGTTTTCCCATCCAGGACGTGGGCACAGTGGCATCTGCCTCTCAGTGGTGGTGCCTGTTGGCGAGCCAGATGTGGGCCAGCTCGCCCAGAGCTGGCCCGCGATGATTCCCTATGGACGTGAGTCCAGGCCCCATTCAGCCACTAGCCTGCAGTGCTCGGAGTGAGTCACAGGGACTAAGCCCAACCAGAAGAACAAAGGGCTGGGCTGCTTGTCCCTGGGTCTTGGCCAGAGGACAGGACGAGGGGGGTCTGGCTGGCAAGGGTACTGACCGGTGCCCATGGCCACTTCTGGGGACGATGGCTCCCAACTCCAAAGACGCTGAGTGCATGGTGTCTCTGCCTCCTGCACCTCCCTGCCCTGAGGGCTGTCGGGGGGGCCTTGGGGAAAGCAGCGGGCCTCCCCACCTGGGGACCAGGAAGGGTTCCTGGGGTGCCCGGCCGCCCCTGTGGGGAGGCTAAGCAGACGGCTGGGAATAAACAAAGGGAAGATGGAGACCCAGAGGGAGGGGGAAGGAGGGAGGGAGAGGGAGGGAGCGAGGAAGGGAGGGGAGAGGAAGGAGTGGGGGAGGGAAGGAGGGAGGGAGACTGAGATAGGGACAGAGACACCAGAGGGAGAGGCAGAGGAGAGGGCTGAGGGCGGGCAAGGGCAGGAGGGGCAGCGGGGGGGCGGCAGGGCCCAGGCCTGGCGAGGCCAGAGCAGGTCAAGAGCGCGAGGCCAGGAGAGGAGGGCAGCAGGAGGCCCAGGCCAGGGCTAGGGCAGAGGCGACGGCTGGAGACATGGGGTGGCAGGGGTGTCCAGCGCCCAGAGGGAGCGGTGGGCAGAGGAGTGGGGGACAGCAGCAGCGGCCCAGGGAGCCCGGGGAGAGGCCAAGGGAGGAGGCGAAGGGAGGGAGGGGGCAGCGGTGCTGCCCATCAGCGGCCGCAGAGGTCCGGCTGAGCCCCCGCTGCGGGGCTGGGAGGGTTCGCTCTGACATTTTTACTAGTCTGGGAAGGAGGAGGAGGTGGAGGTGGAGGAGACCAGGGGGGCGGAGAAGGGGCTTGGGGGACAAAAGGGAAGCAGCTGTGAAGCCTCCTGAGGAGGAGAGGGGAGCGGGACCCACAGAGGAGGGACCCAGGCACAGTGGACGGGCCTCAGCCGACAGCTGGGAGCCAGCCCAGGACCCCCAGCCCAGGGCCAGAGGGACCGGGACAGGCAGAGAGAGGGACAGGGACAGGGGAGAGAAGGAGGGGCAGGGGGAGCAGAGGAGAGGGAGAAGGAGGGGAGAGGAAGGCCAGGAGGCAGAGCGAGCAGCAGGCCGCAGGCGCCAGCGCTGGGAACGGGAGCCTTTGAAGAAGGCGGCGGCGTCCCCAGGGCCGGGGTCAGGCCAGGTCGCCTGGCGGCCGGGCCAGCATGAGCCACTCGGTGCTCCTCAGGAGGAACTCTAGCACGCGGGGCCTGGAGACGCTCTTGAGGTAGGTCCCTCCTGGCCAGGGCAGGTGCCTGTGCAGACCCCGAGAGTGAGCCGTGGCGCCCAGGCTGGGGCTGGTGGCCCGGCCTAGCTCCCCCCGCAGGGCCAGTGCACGTGCCGCAGACGCAGCTCGAGGTCACCTCCTGCCTGGGCCCTGGTGGCCTGTGCACCCTTCGCAGACCTTCCCGTGCCCTCGGGGTGCAGACTGCAGCAGCCTCCAGGGCCCCGCGCTGTCCTGCCGACCCCGGGGGGACGGTCACCCTTACTTTACTCGCAGCCACGACACTGGCTGACCCTGGGTCTTCAGCCCCACGTGGGAGGCACATGTGCCTTGAGCACCTGGCCCTGGAACCCTGGTCATGGACACCAGGCCTGGGGCAGCACACAGCCCTCTCTCAGGCTGCGTCTTGTCCTCCGTGAAGTATGGTGGGGGAGCAGCTGCTCAGTGGGTCGCGGCGAGGCCTGCCCGGCCCGGCGGAGCCGGTCAGAGCTGCCACTCTCAGTGGCTAGCTGCTCACTGCCACCCTCTGGGCCGCCTGCCGTGTCCTTCCTCCTTCTCAGGGGGTCTTCTACAGACCCCCTGCAAGGCCGGCTCCTCCAGGAAGTCCCTGTGGTCCTCCTGAGCCGGGTGGGGGCTGTCCTCCTCTGCCAGCCAGGCAGATCCGCTCCCTGGCCCCCTTCCCTGCTCGGAGCACACGGTCTCTTGCACCCGGCCACCCCGTGCCCGCGAGTCCTGGCTCTCGGTGGTGAAGCTGCGGAGCAGAGGCCCGGGTGTGTGGCGCAGGGTTGTGCCGTCTGACAGGGCCTGGGAGCTGGCTGCCTCTTCACACCTGTCCCCAGACGCAGCTCCAGCCGGCCAGGGCCCTGAGGCAGGGCTGCAAGTCTCAGTCCAGACCCCCCCCCCCCCCCCCCCGCCACCGCAGCAGGAACGCAGTCCCCAGGGCCGGCCTGGTCCCCAGAGAGCTGTGACAGGGGCTTGGAAGGTGCCTGCATCCGTCCCCAGCACCTCTTAACAACTAGGGAAACTGAGGCCACTGCCCCCACACCAGGGCTGGGCTGCTGCCCGCTGACCAAGAGCGTTCAGAGGGCAGGCCGGGCGTGGAGCTTGGCAGGGTAGGACCAGGCAGAAGACAGTGGGAGGGGCCTTGAGGCCAGGTCCTGTGAGCAGCTGACAGGGTCAGGGGAGAAGGAACTGTCCCCTGGGAGCTGGGCTCTGAGACCGCAGGGAGAGCCGGGGACGCAGCTTTCAGCAGTGACGGGTGGGTGTCAGCCCTGTGGAGGGCCAGGGTCACCCCCAGGCACTCATATATGCTACAACCCAGGACAGCGAGCCCTCTCCCCCACCTGTGGCCGTAGTTCACATCCGACCATTTTCACTTCCCCAGGCCCTGGCAGGCAGGCCCGGCCTGGTCCCTGTTAGATGAAAAACCAGGCTCAGAGAGGTTAAGTGATTCACCCAGGGACAGCCGGCAGAGACCAGTAAGCCTGCCTCCCACAAATACCCTCGTCACCCCAGATCCTTCCCCAGGGACTCCCCAGCTCTCTCACAGGCCTGGAGGCAGGCCTTGCCTGTCTTCTCTGGGACAAGATCTAGAGGGCTCTGCTGGGCACCAGCCGTGGCCAAGGTGTAAATTGAATTCAGTTTAAGCTCATTAAAAAGGATGCCGTGGGTCAGCGGAAAAATGTGTCCTCCTGACCCACCTGCTCTCCTTGTCTACACCAGGGTGTGAGTGGGGCTTGTGCGGCCTGTGGTCACCCAGACCGTCTGTCCCCCGCCTCAGCCCACACAAGGCTTCAAGCGGACAGGGTTGGGCCCCAGGGCCTATGTCCCCACTGTCCCCGCTTTGGCAATCTGCCCACACCCCAACACCCTCCTACCTGCCCCTGGTGGAGTCCAGTCCCTCCCAGGCCCACCCAAGGCCAGGATCGTGTTAGGGTGGTCAGAGACCTGCGCCTCCTGGGTCACCCTGGTCCTGCGGCCCTCAGGGGCTGCCATTGTGAGGGGCCAGGCTGACCTAGAGCACCCCCGTCGGGCACACGGGCTCCGCTGCCCCTGGACGCCTTCCAGCCTGGGCTCCTGGAGGCCTGAGCCCCTCTGTCCCCTGGGTCTGGGGCACATGTCCACCCACAGATACTATGGTCTTCTGCATCTAGGGATCTCCCCAGGGCTCTGGGCACCCTGGTCCGAGGGCCTCTGGGGACCCGTGTGGCCAGTCGGGCAGGGGATAGGGCTGGTAGCCTGCTGGGCTGGCCCCCACAGGGGTGGGGAAAGCAGCCTCCAAACCACAGTGTCCAAAGGGGCGTGGCTGCCGGGCCCATCCAAGGCCTGCGATCCTGAGGGTGGGGTAGCCCCCGCCCTGGCAGGGCCCGGCGTCTGGTGGGCGGCACCGTCTCCGGCCGGGTGGTCTGTTGGCCAGAGCCCATCCTGCCCGGAGCCCGGCTGAGCCAGCAGCAGGGGGTACAGGGACCAAGTGGCCCAGCCCCTGGGCAGGGTGTCAGGGCCAGAACCCAGAGGGCTGCGATTCCCATTCCGGTCCCAGCCGGCAAATCAGAGCTGGGCAGACCGGGCAGCGAGCAGCCAGGGTGCCCGGGCCTCTGGGACTCACCTGCCTGCTTTTGGCTGCTGGAGCCCCCCGGGTGCCCTGCGGCCCCCGGGACCCTCCGTGGGGTTGGAGGGGGCACTGCCCCCAGGGACCTGTGCAGCACTCAGCGGTTCAGCAGAGGATGGTGGCCGGGCTGACCTCAGAGGCCTCCAGAGGGCAGGTGGGCCTGCAGGCGACAGGTGGGCGCTCAGAGTCAGAACCCTCAGTGGCCGGCCCCCGCCGGGGCAGGCGCAGGGAGAGGGGTCTTCAGGCCTGGCCCCAGGTGCTCGTGGCCCTGTACAGGTGGGCTGGTGTCCCCCTGCCACCCTCAGGGCAGGAGTGTGGCCCTGGGCTGGCTGCTGCCTGGGACAGGCGAGGAAGTGAGGAGGTGGCACCTGGAGGTGTGGTGGGGTGGAGCCTGGCCTGGGAGCATGAGGGTCTCCACGGAGGACGTGTCCTGCCAGGCCGGAGGGGACTGACAGCCGGAAGACCCTGGCGGGAGGGCAGGGCAGGGGACTTCGGAGGAGCAGGCGCAGGGGCAAGCCTCGGCGGCCAGGCGAGGGCACCGGCAGGAGCGCTGGCACGTCCCTCCTCTGTCACCTGCACTTTGCGGAGGGGCACTGTGGGCCAGGGGGCTGAGCAGGGTGGCGCCGGGTGCAGGGGGTGGTGGGAAAGATGGGAGCGGTCTGGACAGTCAGGGCAAGCCCTCATGGCAGGGACGGAGGACAAGAGGGAGAGAAGAGGGAGGAGACCAGGGGAGGACGAAGGAACCGGAGGAGGGACAAGTGGCTGCTGTCCTGGGACGGCCGCCGGTGCTGCTGGTCCTCTCCCTGGAGGTCGAGGGAGGCTCTTCCTGCCTCCTGCAGCCTCTGCCGGGCACCGTGCTGGGGCCAAGGGGCTCGCTGACCCCGTGCTCCTACCCCCCTGAGCCTGGACGGCTGCGGGGGTTGCTACGAGGACCCTGGTGTCCTGGGCGGGGTCCTACTTTGGCTCTGTCCTGCAGCAGTGCCGGTCTGGCCCTCAGCCTTGGCTGGGGCCTTGGGATCTGAAGACCAGAGTGGACCTCAGCCACTGTGACTCCCAGAGGGACGAGGGTCTCCCCAGCCGGCTGAGGCTGGCCCTTCGGGTTGGAAAGCAGAGCTTCAGGGTAGCGGAGCAGCTTGCCCAGAACCCTGGGGCAGGAGGAAGCCGGACGGGGGCGCGCAGGAGAGGGACGGAGTGACTGGCCCCTGAGGGGCTCAGCATCCTTCAGGATCTGGAGGAGGCCGAGGGGCCAGGCAGGCACCCGGGCTCCACAGGCAGACCTGGGGACAGCCCGGGGCGAGACGTGGGGAGGCAGGAAGACGGGGGGGGGGCACTGGGGGCACAGCCGGGCACAGGCAGGGGAGTGCCAGCTGCGTGGCCGAAGGGTGTCCCTGCGCCTGCTCCCGCCCAGGGGGCAGCCGAGGTTGAACAACGCGGACGCGTTTGGACAGGGCGCCCTTGGGCCGCGTCTGTGGGCAGAGCCGCATTGAGGCCACAGCCGGCCAGGGCGGGAAGAGGAGGCATGGCCGAGCCCAGAGCTGGCCAGCCACCATCGCCTGTCAGGGAGAGTGCCAAGCCTCGCCTGGCGAGCCCTGCGCAGGAGCACTGTCCAGTATGGAGAGGAGACCCAGCCCGGACCCCGTCCCCCGGAGGCGGCTCTGAGGGGACGGTGCAGACACTCCCCAGGCGCAGCCGCGTCTCGCCCCTGCAGGGAATGCTGAGCTGGGCCCAGCAGGGGCTGCTGGGCACTGAGCCCCTGCGACATGTGGTCAGTGACACCAAGAACAGAGAGGCCTGGGGTGAGCGTGCACAGTGCCGGGAGGGAGGACGGACAGGCGCAGGACCAGTGGGGACCACAGCCACACCAGGATCCAACAGGCCAGGAGGGCGAGGCCTGACCTCTGACCCTAGGTCCCCAGGGGCAGGCCTGACTGAGCAGACACTGGCAGAGACTTAGAAGAGTCACAGTGCTGGGGCGAGGAGGCTGTCAGCATCAAGTTGACCATGGAGCACATCACAAGAGGTAGGGCACCCAGACCAAGGGAGGTGACTGGCTGGACATCTAGCTGGGTTCTGGTCCCCACACTGAGGGCAGAGGTGGATGGGCCCTGACCTGATCTCTGAGGAAAGTGTGGGATGGGGAGCTGGAGGAGGCATCCTAGTTCCAGTCTCATGGGGTCTTTAGGGCAAGACTCTGGGCTCCACAGAACCCAGTCATAGCTCCGGAGAAGGTGCCGGGCCTGACCCCTGAGGTCCGAGCTGTCTGCTGGGGCGCGGCTACCTTCCCCATGGGTGTGTGGGCAGAGCTGGGGTCCGCCCAGCGACTTGGGTGGTGTGATGGGGAGACCTGGGCTGTGGCTACCTGACCAGCACTGGCAGCTGGGCTCCCCAAGGGGCA